ATCTTCATCCTGAGCTAGTTCAACGGCATGTGCTGATAACAGAATGACAAGACACCTGCAGCAAAGCGCCATCGACAGAAGTTTGCATTCGTCAGCAATCTGAATGCTCTAACTTTGAAAAAACACGACAACATTTACAAGGAGGGGGAGCACACCTTGCAGCCCGCCAGCCAAGCCTGGGATTGCTCGGCCGGGGAGCCAGGCAGCATGGAGGGAGAGCGGCCGTCCACGCTCTCGATGCACGACCGAGCAGCGGCAGCTGCTGCCAACGCTTCTCGTCTGCCCACAGACGACGTCCAGGGCACCAGGAGCCGGGATGGACGTCGGTCCGCCCGGCCAAGGCGAACAGCTTGAGACCACACGCATCTTCCCGAGACGGACCAACAGCACCTCTGCCAAGGAGCTACTGCAGCCTGGATCAGGGATCCCCTCTGCTGCGGGGGGTACCCCCAGTTACCTCCTTGCACTTGGAAGAGAGCAACATCAAAACAAAGTGTCTATGCAGGATACCACTGCTTTGCACAAAAAAAAAAAAAAAGCTGCCTAAGCCATTTTGTAGGACCACGATATGAAACCTGGAACTAGGAAATAAAACTTGCCCCGAACAGCTCTGCAATAAACCCCACCCTTTACTTGGGCTGTGAAGCAGGAGGAGACAAGACCAGGACTGCCTGTCACTAGCCTGACAGCACTTCATCTAAGGGCTTCCCTGAACCTGTGTGATTTCTGTTTTGCAAGATACATTAAGATATTCCTGACAGCTACATTATAAGATGCTGATCTAATAAAAGCTGCATTAGAAACCACTGCATTCAGAGTTTTAAAATCATGTATTTCCACAAAAGCATTAAATAGTCACATCTATTTAGGACCGTCTACCTACACCAACTTTGAGTCTGTTGACATGCGACCTCACAGAGGAAAACCCTTCTTGAAGGGGGGAGATACTATATATTTTTTTAAGGCAACACATATTGCCCACAGCAACAAAGTCGACTCATATTCAGTATTACAGGATTTATATCCTCAGCAGCGCGACCAAGTGCATAGTGGATGAGGTGGCACAAGATTGAACTCCAGAAATGTAGACCAGAACTCTGCAAAACAACCCTCCTTCAAAAAGGAGTTTGCTTTACTCTTTTGTTAGCCTGTGTGTAAAGCAAAAAAATTCAAACCAGATGTTTCAAAATAAGAAAGACAATGGAAATATCACCACTTTCAGAGAAATACTGCCACCAGCAGTTAATAATTTGGGATAACTGCCCTGATACTATGACCTTTATCCTCTGAAGCCATCAGGCATATCCTTTAGCTAAATAAAGACATAGTTCTATTATTCTCCCTTCAGCTTTCATAAGTGTCGCTGTCTCAATCATTTGGACTCTACGCTAGAAGATGAAAGCAGGGTTGCTGCCCAGTTACGTACACCCATTTAAGCATTCACAGCAATAAAACACAATTTAACAGAGACCTTGCAGAAAGTTTGTGTAAGGAATCAAAGGCAGACCTCCTAAGTACTCTACGTACGCAGACCTCCATTAAGTACCCTAAGAAAAAGGCCATGCTTCCTCCAATATCCTCTTTTAAAACCTCAGAGCACGCAGACAGACACATCATGCTATTCAAGAGTTTTCCTTAGTGTCTTAGAGCATCCTGTAGCAATTCAGAGCCCAACAACTATTCCAGAAAAAACCCAAACCAAACAAAAAAAGCCACTTTCCCATGGGGACACTGTGTATTTATTTGTTGATTTGAAGGAAAGAAGAGGATCAGGTGGCCCAATCCAGCCTTCGAGGTCTGCTTCCACTTAGCTGGGCCAGAGGAAGATTAATTAAATTTTTGTCTTGAAGGTGATACATCTGAGGTCTAAAGTATCTCAGGGTGGACTCAACTTTTCTAACAGATCCACCTCCCTGCAAGACAGAAGTTTCAACGAAGTACGACCAAGGAAGACAAAGTTTAAACACTAGTAAGAGAAAAAGGGGCACCCAGGAACTACTGGCTCTGGTAGAGGGTTTAATTTCAGAGGACTGGCGCTGCAGCTTACAGGGAGCTTCATGACATTAACAAAAGAGCTCCCGGATCGCAACAAGCAGTCTTTGTATTTGTTCATACTGATCCAGAAGCATTACACAAAAAATAAGCTTCCTTTTACAGACCAGATCTTACCCATGCTCTAAAATGCCCTTTCGATCACTCTTCCCAAAAAAAA